TACGTGTGTGTGTGTGTGTATGTATTTAATATATATATGTGTGTGTGAATGTGCAAGTATATATATTTATAGATATATACATATGTGTGTGTGTGCGTGTGTGTGTATGTGTTTACGTACTATAAACGTATTCGTTGTTCCTACACTGGTTTTCATTCGTTTATAATAATATTCCGTCGAAGAAAGCGTGATTTATCTTTGTCCGTGCCCATTTGAATTTAAGCAATACCGTTTAATATTTTGTACTTTTAAAAAGTCGGTACGAGCTTTAAAAAACAAGATTAATGTTTTCCTCGTAAGGCGGTTCGGATACGCAATTGTGGTTTAGGCCCCCCACCCCCTGGTTTTTGGGACTTCGAATGCATATGTGCCTATTGTTACTTAATGTGTATTTTCTACATATATCCCCTGGTTTTCGGAAGCTCTCCGGTGTCTAAACAAAAGTAGCACATCCGAACCGCCTAAATTGAATGAAATAACGTTGCCAATGGTTGGCAGTGTCAATCGTTTTGTATGGAATATGAATGAAGAATATTAAACTGTGATAAATGATTTATGGGACGCCGTGAAGATCAAAAGTATATATCTTCAAGGGCAGTCTCGAAAGTATGTGTGGACACCGAAAAGTAGGCACATAATGATATGATATGAAGTTGTGGATTCTAGTGCAAGCAAGTGGCTTTTAGTATACGCTATATAGTCCCGATAAAGATTAAAGAACGACAACAAGGAACTAATTGGTTGCATTCACGAACAACAACCATTGTCTATATTATCGTAAACTATGTATTGTCTTTGAGTCCTGTACATGACTTTTTACGTATACGTATGCTTTCGAATTTTCGTGAGGCTGTACCACATATCACCGTAGTATAATGTTTCTTTGGGTTCTCGATCCTCAGTCTTTTTGGTAGAAGTTGAGATTGCTGTTGTATGATCTGCACTTGAACAGTTGTGATACCATATTCGTGTTCTCGTGTGCGTTACTTCATGCTAACATATTATGAGTATTACTTCAATATTGACCTGTGTCGTAATGAAAATTATGAAATGTAGGCATTGCTTTGGTACCTTTCGGTAGTATATTATACAATATGATCTGATATGAGTTCTTGTTGTTAGATTGATACATGGGTATCAATCCTTTGGCTTGAAATATTTTACATGACATTCGAGTTGTGTAGGTCTTAATAGGAACTTTACTTGTGTCACACAAGGTGTTTTGTCGACACCGGCAAATAAATAAATTAATATCGGGACAAACTGGTGTGCGTGTGGACAATTGAAGTAAACTTGCAGTTGTCTGTGCAGGTATTTGACATAGGGTTACTTCGTTTTGTACTGTTGTGTGTTTGTATTGGATCGGGATATGTCGGAATTTTGTACCTTTGTACAGCTATTTGTGGTACACAGACATCTGTTTTGTGGAACAGATATTCACATTTATTCCTGTCAGGAAAATTATTGGCGTGTATGGATATTTGGGCAGAGGAGTCAGATATATTTATTGCCTTAAAAGATCGTCTTGGTTTGATTATGGGTTCGTCTTAATAAGTTTTTCGATTGTGAGTGTTCGCATGGTGTTTTAGGGTTTTAGGTAGCTTCAGGGTCAACCAGCTCCAAATAGTCTCAGATTCTCGCAGACTCGAATTTTTTTTTGTCATTGTCAAGCGTTGTAACATATTAAACGAATCGGCAAGTTATCAATCATTTAGTTCCATCTCAATTCTCCACAACGCCGCCTCTGTAGAGACATTGTTTGCACTCTCAATCACTAATCTACTTGTTACGCAATCAGTTTGGTATGGTTGTTGACTCCACGTGAGCAATTTGTCTTTCTCTAATCCCATCTTCAATCTCGATTCGAGGTATTAAGTATGAACAGACACTTTGACAGTTAACAACTGTTTGTATCACTAGCTGGTGTGTTTTGCACCACACTGGTACAGTTGTTTTCATAAAATTTAAGGCAGCATCTACATACGCATTACGCATTCTTTTGATTAGTGCCTGCATCAATGATAACTTGTGATACAAAGTGTCCTTCCCCGTTTATGGCTGAACTTATGTCGTTGCTGCAACTGTGTACAGCATTTCAAATGGCTGCATTCGGTATGTATTATCAAGTTTACCCGCATATAGTACGACGAGCGGTAAAATGTTAGACAATTTTGTATATTGAATTGAGGCTACGCACAACCGTATGCTTTCTCCTTTACCAGCTTTTCTGTATGTAAAAAGTAACGAAATATTTATTTCTTAGCCTGTATGTAGTAGACAGATATATGCATATGTGTAATAGCAAAGCCTTGAAATGACACACACATCCCTACCAATTAGCTCGTTTTGACCTCTTCGCACAGAAGCAAATGTCACTGCTAAATTCTATATTCGCTTTGTTCTATTGGCTTTCTTGTCTCCATCCCAACATAGTACAAAGCATTAAAATATCGGGCACGTTGATGTATCTTGCTACGATTGAAAAGTGTGCGTTTTTAATATATGTTTTATTTATGTGTTAGATTTGAAAGTTTGTTGTTGTCTAAATTAAATTGTTTCGAGTTGTATTAAAAGAAGTGAATGACTGCACAACTAACCAAGCTGTTGGTCGGCTCAGTCGATTGTGTAACCTATGTCTACAAAATCGGAAAAGTCATTTATTTTGGGATAAAAGCCAATCGACTGGTGCTAAGTCTGCGCTGTTGCCCAGCGCGGAAAGTTCAAAGAAATCCGCACAGGAGCAGTGATACCAGCCTGGGAATTTCAGAGACAGGTGCGGACCGTGCGACTGAGATTGAAGTACTTGCGACATTTTCGTATTAGGAAACTTTGCTTTGATGTATAGTAGACATTCCTGCATTTTGATTATGCATTATGGTTATCACCATCCATAACATTACTTTGATATCCAAGTATCTGGTACGCATAAGTACTCACACAGTTACATCTCTGTTTTGAATAGCCCCAAGTAGCATGTTTGCGAACTAATATCATTAACAGGATGGTAGTGTCCAATCCATTTTAGACTTTCTCCATATGTCGTTCTTGTTATCAACCTTTGTATAGTGCTGTGGAAACGTATGCAGTTGTTTATAAGTTAAATTGAAAACAGGAAGTATAGACAGTTCAGCATAATCCTCGACACACTCTGATTCACTCCTAACTACATCTTGCGGAAGCGGAGGCACTTTATTTGACGCTCTTTGGAACCATCTGTCATAGACGTAATCCTACACCATCTTTAGCAACTTAGGGTAGGTAGTGTTTGTGGCCAACAGCGCAGATTCTGCATTTACAAGTATTTTCTTAAGTTCTGTGCTTTTCAGTGTATTATGTTGTGTACTGACGATCGAACTGTGGGTATACGTATCAGTATCGTAAGGCAGCTCGCGCACCTGAAGTCGTGTGCTGCAGTACAATTGGTACCGCCCATATCCCAATCCATACAATGATAGAGATTCGCATCGCACTTATTGATGTCATACAAAACCGTGCTACTTATAATCGCGCTTGAGGTATGTCTGTAAGTGTTTAGATGTATTTTGGACTTCAACAAGTAATCTATGACATATATGTGCATGATAAGCCTATTTGTTTAGTAGAAGCCTTTGTCATGATCGTGAGTATATGGTATGTACACATATATTTTCCTAGTCTGAGAAAATGAGCCGTCACTTTGAAGCACTGATCCATCATCTCTAGCTGATCCTGCGGATGCCAATAATCCTGAAAATACTCCTGCAGCAAGCATTTGGTACATAATTATTGTATACTAGTGTAACACATTGCAGCGCGTGTTACACTTCTACTAGTTTAATGCGCAACAAGTCCCAAGTCCGAGTTGTACGTTATATGCTCCGCGTATCGTACCGTTCCTACATGTGCAATGCATGTATGAGACACCTTTCAAACGTGCCTCACTAAAGGCCAATTTCCTTAACATTCCTACTATGAACCCTGTGACCAAGACACAATAAGATAACCAACTCAAGGCGTACAAGAAACTTATTTTTGTAACATATGTCGTTAATACAAATATAATATATCAGAGAGAATGGACCGAGATTTAGGACCGGACCAAAAGACCGGACCAGAGGACCGGACCTAAGAAGATTAATTCAAGGCCAAATAGTGGAATGGACGATTTAGTAAGAGAGAAGGATGAAACTCATCGAATGTCATCATATCTTAGTAACTAGGAAACCAAAACCACAGATATGGGTATTTTCATCATCACCCGTTATTAGACAAAATCTTTTCCCACATAGGAGCGTGACAATTAATAAACACAGCTGGCGCGCCGTTCACTTCTGACTGAGCTAACATATTCAGATCTAGCACTATTTACTAAGCACTACTCGATTTTGTCTACATTTATAAGTGACCGAACTACTATATGAATTACACTACGTTCTTTATAGACCTAAATTAACTAAAAACCAACTCATTGCTAACTATATGATGATGGAGTCTATTACTACACCGGCAACCTGAGGTGGGCAATCAAGTTGTGAGCTACAGTGGAATCTACTGCTTGGAGTTTATCGTCAATTGCCTTTATGGTAAGGTGAAAACAGCATTTTCTACGGATCCGACATCTGAGGATGAAGAAAAGACAGAAATCTACGTTACGCTGGCCGATTTGGTTTCTGAGGCCTATTACTTGTTTTCTACTGTACGTCGAATAAAATCAAACAACATACGGAGCGGATTTCTGTTCGGGATGGTCATTTGGATATGCTGACGCCTGTGTAGGATGCCACGATTACTATTCAGCTTATTCGTGGACAACTCTGCCGACTTCGTAAATTCCCAATGGCGACTGTTGACTCGACAACTGCCAATAGTACGGATCAGGCGACATCGGGTAATACACGGTTATTCTGTGCAACATGTAGCACCAACATTGCATCAATATACCCCCAACGCAGATTGTATGCACGACACCAACTGGCTCGTTACTTAACAGCATGGCTAACTATTTGAAGCAAATCAATCCAGTAAAACGCATAATTGGCCCCGCGAAGCCGATACCTCAAGTGGTGTCGCTCAACAATTTGCACGTTACTCGCAGGTAGCGTATGTTGAAGCACGCTTAAAAACACATCGAGCACAAGAAATCCCGGCCCTTGATGAGATGCCAACATAATTTCACGATTCTAATAGTACTCAGAAATCGACAACTATGGTGAAAACTCCTGGCAGATTTATTATTAGAACCGGATTTGCACTTTGCATTTGGCACAAAAGAATTTATTGTGGTCGGCAAAAGCGTTCCATTTCGCAGAACGGTGAAATCTCGACGACAACCTCATAATGAACAGTGAGCTTATTTCTTGACAAGCTGCAACACCATTGTCGCTCACGTTCACCGGGAGAGATGAAGAGAAATCGTCAGGATACTAAAATGTACCTATTGATACGCTAGCATATTGAAATTAATTTCATGTTCATCAAGATTGCTACTTAGAGCTCCTGCAGCGTGTGAAACGATTTTATAAACCATCAGAGGCCTCAGAGCCTTGTATCACTGAATCTGCGATGGCAGAGGTGAAGATGAAGGTCTTCCATGTTCCCCAACGAATAATGCAGACAGAAGCAAAGAGAGGCCTAGAAGAAGTGCACGCGTTAAAAGTTCAGTGACGTTAGACAAGCGGACGAAAAAGAATGCTCGCCTTATACACAAGGCAGCTATTATTATTTTTATTATTATTATTATTATTTGAACGGCCCGTAGAAGATACAACTGC